CTGTCTCCATTCAAGTGTTTGTTTTTAGTGTGACATCATCTAAACTGTGATTTGGTGATTTGAATCCTGCTGCCTGGCTGATAAGTGAGCCACACGGAAAAAACGGAAAACACAAAGGGCAGAGTCCCTCTCACTTGTTAGCCTCAATCAGACTCCTTCCATCACACATCAATACCACAAACTCATTCTTTCACATCCTCTTAATGTATATCTGTGTCTATGCTGTCCTTTTAAGTGATGGGGTTAAACTAGTAGAGGCAGAAAAGAGTGGAGTGCTCTTGAACACTTAAAGCTTCTTGAAGTGTTTGAAAGTTGTTCCTCTTGCACTCGGTTTAATAGTCAGGGGCTGTCACCTGTTTCATCGTCTTTTTTGTAGTGACAGAAGGTGTGTAGTGTCATCTTTGCTCAGTGGTGTCGTCATTTTTCATTACAAACCTGCCCTTATGCCTGTGCACAATATGGTTGATGCAAAAGCCTCTGACATGGTGACAATTGTAAAGCACATCTCTGGTCCTGTGAGTTCTGAATGAAAGAATTACCTTTGATCAATTCCCATCCGTCTGTGGATTTCCTGTCCAGTGAGAGCTCTTTACTCACTTGTTTCATCCCGACTTTCACAACAGGTTTAGTTCCTACACATAATGAAACACACTTGTAGACTGATAGCACTTCTTGCTGTTTGGTCATGAGAAATTAATGGAGTACAAATATTGCAGATTTATTTTTTTTGAAAGGAATCAGCCTCCCACCAGTCTGTGTTTTGGCCTGCAGAGGGAATGAGTGTGCACAAATATCCTGTTGAATAATTGCTTGGACATGACCGTATAGCAGACATTCAATAACAGCCTATAAATACCCTTTTTTCATTTAAATGCAGTTTGTATTCTGTAAATAAAAGAGTGTTAATTTTGTTGCCTGTGGCAGCAACAGGCATGCTGACCTTATCAGGAAAGCCCTGGCCTGTCTATTCTATCCTCTGTGACTCACCTACTCGGCTCCCTCCCTCAGCAAAGACGACCCTCTGTATGGAGCTAGATTTCAATAACCTCTCAAGCGAGGACAGCAGTGAGATGCAGAGTGAACGAGGGTGCTGGCTCCTTTTGCTGCCTCAGTATCCAGGAGATTTGATGCGCCCATGTGGCGTGGCACCCTTCCTTCCCTATGAATGCAATACATCCGAATGCATCTTTGCACAGGCAAGAGGCAGAAAGTTGGGAGATTGATATACATTAACATGTGGGAAGTGCAGTAGTGTTGATAATGCAGGGTAGACATTGAATTGACTGCCCTTTTCTAGGTAAATATCGGAAGTATTCAGAGGTATTTTTGGGGTTATGTTATGGAGGCAGGGAAATGGAGAGATGAGAGAGAGAGCAATCGAGCTGGAGGCCCAGGCACGGTGATGGATCACCTACATGCTGCAGCTGCCTTGCCACAGTGAACACACCCTTAGAATTGATGAGCCACACCTCTTGTGGCCCTGTCTCCCTCTTCCTCTCTCTTTTTCTTTCTGGCCTATCACATCTTCCACCTTTATCCCACTTCAGCCTCTCTCTTAATTTATTTCTTTCCATTTTTTTTCTCGTGCCTTTTGACTGCCCCACCCACTCTGAGTGTCAACATCAAGCAGAAGAGCCATGGAATTGCCATACTAATAAGGTTAGAGGGAGCATCTCTGTTTCTCAGGACGACACCTTTATAAATGACAGGAGCATGAGACCCTGCCGGTGTTCAATCACCTCTGCAGGGGCTCACCCATGGGGAGCTCAGCATGAGCAGCATGTGAGTGATTGTGTCCGTGCATGAGCGCATGTTTGTGTGTTATTGCCTCTGTGGGTCTTGCAGCACCAGGTTTACTGTGGAGCTAGTCGGAGTGGACAACAGCATTAGAGAGGAAACAGATCTGTAGGCAGAGTGAAGGCGAAGGAGAGAAATGACAGCCTGGAGCTCATCTGACCACTACTGCCTTGTTATGACTCCCTGATGTGTACACCAGGGGCTCACAAAATAGACAGTTCCTCCCTTTATTGCCTTACACCACCTCTATCTCTGCTCTGTAGTCTGTCGCCTCACCAGCTCACTTTATGGCCTCTACCTATAAGCGGGATGCTATCTACTCTATGTTACAGGCTCCTTTTGTCTGTCTTTTTCACTGTCTGTGTTAGTGTTTGAGAACAGGGATGCATTTTGGATTATGCTGAACTGCATGGGGTAGTCGTTACCGATTCATGTTCCAACAGACCCACAAATACTTTATGAGTAGGGTAAGAGAGGAGAACCATTCAATCATTCAAATTTGTTTGCGATACATGCAGAGCTAAAAATTAAGAGATGAGCTTGCTAGCAGTATAACAGAATCAGCAGCATTTGTTGTCATTAGCACAACAGGAATCTATGCTCACTCAGACAAAACTGAACTTAAGAACATTGTTTCTCATGACATGGACACGGTGTGTTTCTTATAATGCGCGTGGTCTCCTGTTTATAACTTTATGTCGCTCCTCAGTAGGGAACAAAACAGAAGATAGAAACAAATAAAAACTAATCTGCACCGTGTTTAGTGAGTATAGCTATTGCTTTGGGATTCAGTGATAGTGGTTTTCCTCTCAACATGCAAGCTTTAGACACGGATTTCATGAATGGCGAAACGATAGCAGGGCTATCATTGGAATGGCACACGGCAGCTCACGGCAGAGGAAAGGGCTTTTGTGTTTGGCTTTTGCTAAGGTGAGCTGAGCCACACGAAAATATGCCATTGAGCTTGCATGTCAGTGTATCTCAATGGCTGTCTGTGTGCAAGTGATCATAACTGGAGAAGAAAAAGGGAAAATGGCTGTGAAGCATGCAACACCTCAGCCATGAACACAGGCCATGGAATTGACTGCAGCGTCATCATTCCTGACCATAAAAGCTGCTCAGCCAGTCAATGCAGTCTGCATTCATTCTCTGCTCGCTGCCCAGTCTGAGCTATTTTTAGCCTCCGTGTGCAGCGTGGCTCAACTGCCGTCGTAGCTACCTGGATATGAGGGCTTTGTCACTCCTGCAGGCTGGAGCAGCACTGATCTTGCAAGCTTTACAGCTTCCTATTGCCACAGCTAGGTCTGCAAAACAACTCCTGCAGTGAAAGAAATGAACAAAGACATATTGATGTACACTGCATCTAAATGAAACAAACAAAGGCATTGCTTTCTCATATTAACTTTCTGTGTCCTTTGCTCTTGATGTGACAGAAAAATTATTCTAATGAGGCAATCTAACATGAAACTGTTCACAATGATGATAGGTTAAACAGTTCAAGCAATTATTGACTAATTGATTGAAACCTAATACAAATAGGAGCAATCTCATGGGATTACACAAAACCATTGTTGATGATTAGATGCACCATTGTAGAGTTAAATAAAAGACAAGACTCAAAAGATGATAGCAGGCATATCTGTATTATTTGTTGTGAAGGATTTCTTTTATGCTGCTAGCACAGTAGGCGATAACACAAAGTGCCATTTTTCTGTGTTTCTCATGCATTGTTAGTCACAGACATGTTTTGTTTGGATAGTCTTTCTCCTGCAGGTATACACACCTATGCCTATTTAATTCAACATAATATCATTCAGAATTCCCTGGCATGGTAAACAAATGCTCCAAATGAATTCATTTGAAATGACTACGCTACAATCCCATGGTGCATTAATGCTGTTTAATGCAGTGAGGACTCATAGACACTCACGCAGGGTACCTCATCATAGTTTTTCCCCTCTTCTCATTCCTCTGGAGCTTAGATGTGCTGGCAACATGTAGCTATGCCACCTCACGCATGCAACCTAAACTCTGATCCATGTTACATCATTCCTCTGTGGCACTTTTACCAATCTGCATTCCGTATTCTAAGCTTTTCTATTTAGTTCTTGAATTATGCAACAAACAGGCAACAGTAGTAAATGATGTAACATGAAAATCGAAACAACCGTTGGCTAGAAATAATCATGCTAATATACTAAAACCACTTCTCTCTCAAGTTGCCCACCAATCTTAGGGAGTCCTGCCAAAGATAACACATCCCAGTCCCACTTTGCTCTGCCTGTGGGCTGCTGTGGCAAAATTCTGCTTCTCAGTGGGCGGTAATCTGAGGATTAATGACAGCAACACATCTGCCAGTCATGTAGCAGTGCGACACAGATGGCGGAGGATTCACACAAGGGATATGGACAGGGAAACGATTGCCTCCAACATTCTGTCATTTATCCACTAAAACATGCTGTTTGCAAAGCTCTAATATTCTCGATCAAATGAATCCAAGAAAATGAGTAGCTCCCACTTGAACAATCCGACCACAGCGTCTGCACTGTGATGTGTTGGTCATTTTGATGCTGCATAATGAGCGTTTCTTTGTTTGTATTTGTAGGTAATTGGTTCTATCAGGGGTCTGTGTATTAGGTTTCTGTAGCATTTTTATATGATTGAATTGTAACACCAGTTTGTTTGCCCTGTAGAAGATGATATTAAATTAGAATAAAATCTTCCCTTCCTCTCTTTTCCACTCCACTGTGCTGCCTTTACTGACGCCTGTTGTATGGGTACTGCCACCAATGACCCCCACAACAGTAGTAGGAGACACTGTGGTTGATGTGATAGAAGTCCCATTTGCTTTCCGTGGCACAGTAATAGCACATATCCAACATGGTGGCAGAGAGAAGATGATCCTAACAATGCCTCAGGCACTGCCTCTGGCTACAAGGCCAATGCACACACACACATGCACACACAAATGCACACTATCTGTGTTTTGCCTTCCTGAGAGGAGCAGTGAAGCAGGCACATGTGTCTCCCTGAATTACTTTTAAGAAAAGGCAGTGGGAGTGATTCTATTCTTGCAGGCGAAAACACAGTCAATTCTGATTTCATAAGACAACTCTCTTACTCGCTTTGTATGTCTAATTCTGTTTGTTTGACTATTTTTCATGTTTCTCTTTATTCTGATTTTACCTCTTATTTCTGACCAGGTGGTGGGTCCTCCGGCTGCAGGGGCTTTTCGTGAACGTCCTTCCAAACCAACCACCTTTCGTAAGTTCTATGAGCGTGGAGAGTTTCCAATGGCCCTGGAGCATGACGCCAAAGGAAACCACATTGCATGGAAGGTAGGGGCTTAACTAAGGACTGTTTTAACATGGTATTAACAAGATTGTCCGGTTTGTCAATACTGTGGTCAGTTATTTGTTGTCGTGGGGGCTCTATTTTAACAATTTAAGCACAAGTTCTGAGATCATGATGCAAGTGCATTCACAACGTGTCCAAACCCACTTTTGCTAGTTTAGCAGTTGAGAAATATTTTGCTCTGCCAGGCACATGGTTGAAGAGGGTTATTCTTTACAATTAGTCATGGTTGTGTTTTTGGCAAAACATGCCATAAACCAGTCAGAATGCCATCTCCCATTACCTTTAAACGCCAGGTGTGTATGGACCTGGGTGGATTGTTATTATAAGGGCGGTTTTTGCCAGGTGGTAATAAAGAATGCAGATGGTTTGTACCACCTGCATGTGTATAATTTGCCAAAGTCATTGTAGCTTTGCCACAATCCTGAGGCACTTTTTTTTGGGTAATCTTCATAAATGTTAAAATTATTCCAAAAGGTTCGACTTTTTTCACATCTTATGGCATTGTTGAAACTTGTAGCCCGTGTTTATGTGTTACTGTCACAGTATCATTAAAAGTTAATGTGCTTGTCTCATGCATGGTGGATATTAGATTAGAATTTATTATTTCATGGAATATTTTGCTATAATAATATTAATAATTATGATAACAAGAAAAACACAAAGCATTTCGATAGTGGACATTTATTCCTATGTCAGTAGCCGAAGCGTTTGGGCCAAACTAGTGTGTATTGCGTGTCTGTATTTCAACACACAAGCCTGCACGGAACCATTAGACTCCTGACTGCCACAGTGTATGTGGAAAGGACGCATTGTTCTAATCACTCTATTGCTTTTTTTAAGCCCCCACTGTGCTGCCAGCTATTCCAGAAACTTCACACCCACCGTGCAGCAACCAGTCTTAATGACATTTATTCATAGTAAGCAATGATAAATGAATAAAACAAATTATGCCCCTTTGCTACCTTTTTCCAACTTCAAAGAGAGAGGGAAGGCTGGGTGGGTGAGTGAGCTTTCTCGGTAGTTAGCTGTCTGTCTCCAGGTGAAAACACTGTAAAAGCATCTCTCTTTTGTATGAATTATTTATGTAAAATGTTCAAATGAATCTTTCCGTTTGCAAGAAAATAATGGATTTCTTCTGTGCTCTGCCCATGAAAAAAGCACTCAGCAAACAGGATCTGGTGTATGAAATTGTTGCTGTCATATCCAGTGTGGCTGTTATGCTTATTGATTTCCCCCCAATACTCATATACACACACTAGTCAATTTTAAAATAATGGGCAAAAGGATATTTTATTGCTCAAGTCAGCTGTGGCTCTTTGACTGTGAACAAGTATTCTGTTCTATTCTGTGAGTGTTTTCTATGAAGCATTGTGTGTTTTAATGGACTACATTTTTATTTGTTCCTTTTTCTTAAAATTAGTCTTCATCAGCATTTGTTTAAAACAAACCAGGTCAAGATGCTTGGTACATTCCTCTGTGGTGCAGTTCTATATGTGGGTGTAATGTAACAGAGAGTGTAACCATGATTGGAGTAAGTGGAGAGGGGTTGCTGCGTGTTTGCACTGAGCTGCCCTCAGGGCACATGGTTCAAGACGGCAGCTCAGGATCAATCCGAGTCTGAGAGCACAGGCCCCTGGCAAATAAAAAGTCTGGAGAAAGTAAGAAAGAGAGAGAGAGAGAGTTTCTCTCGGAAAGAAAAATAAATGGTGTGTTGATTTAGTTTGTGGGCTGAGTACCCAAGCATACTGTGTATTTGTGTGCCCACATGTGTGCATGTGATGTATGTGCAGTTTGCCGACTGCATTGATGAGTGTGTGTGTTCAGGTCAGGGGGTCCAGCTTCCCTCTTGCAAAGATGCTGTGTGCCCATGTTTACCTGTGCAGCTGCAAACAGCCGATGCAACTCACCTCTCAAATTGACCATGAAATAGACAAACAGGCTGCATATTCAGTCAAACTAGTCTGTCCAATCAATATCAGCATCTCCTCTGTACAGGTGCACATAGCTCTTTTCTGCCTCTTTCCTCTTACATGGTCACTCCCCCCCCGAGCAGCAGGGAGCAGCAGCCGCAGTCTTTCTGTGTACTGGATTAATCCTGTGCTGCATGTTTTTAGCATGTTCCTTCTCATACCATAGTAACTCCAAGATTTTTTTATGTCTGTCACACCTCTGATAAAACTTGCATCAGTGTTGGATGTTGAATATGTCTGTCGTATTTGTACCAACTCTGCTAAGAGTACTAAACATACTAAGAGTGCACTCAGAGCACTGGAGGAGGGCTGGGCGGTACAGCCTAAAATGTATCAGTGACAGTAACAGTATATATTATGGTCTTTCGTTGGACATGATTTGCAGATTATCGTTTTATGCTTGTTTGACAATGTCCATGGAATGGAAATTTCACTGATCTTTTATACCTCCTCCTTTTTATTGTGTGCATCTTTTTCAACCATTTCTTCACTTCTCAACAAAACAGCGTGGGCTCGCATATTTTCCGGACAAATCTCTGATGCAGGCTGATGACACTGACGAAGCAAATCGTTGTCTTTATACTGACGGACGAGACATGGTTTCATGCATTGCTGCCTCTCTCTGGTGTAGTTACGTCATCGCCAGTTAAGATCTGTGAGGGTGTTCCCCTGGTGAACAATGTGTTGTCAAAATCCATACAACAAGGAAAATTCTGTGTATTTATTAGGCTACTGTTTATACCGTCAACCCCTATTTGAAAACACAACATACTGATTTGCAGCTGATTGTGTTAAGTTACACTTAGTTATTTTTTTTTCAATCCTCTGTTGCTGCAGTGAAATGCACAGTAGCTTTAGTTACACCTACAAACTCTCATGTCAGTCAGTCTCGCTTGCTAAATGATTTCTTTAAGATTTCCTCAGTAAATAAAACTCTACACCATTTCACAAGTTGGCTTGAAAACAACAGTTTAAATAAATTGTAAAATTCAAAATGTTGCATATTTGTTGTTGTTGTTTATTTCAAAGAATTATGCGCCTGTGGACAAACAACTTAGTGAGTTTGTGAGTGTGTTTGCGAGAGGCTTTATAGCAGGAGTTTGATTCTATATGTTCAGGGGAAATGCAAGTGAACTTAATGTCAAGGGCAAGTTGAAAAAGGGAAGGTTGTATCTGAAAGGTAATTTGGCTCTCCAGAGGTAAAAGCTTCAGCTGTAATGGCGCGCTCAGGTAAAAGCTTTACATGTATGGGGAACATGTGCGGCAGATAGATAAGAGAGAGAGACGAGTTCCTATCCTCTACGTGCATTTGTGTGCCTGCGTGTTTGTGTGCTTGCACGTGTCTGTGTGCAAGGGTGTACATATGTTTGTGTGAGTATTTGGCCGATGCCGCAAAGTAAAAGCCAAGGGCCTGGAACACAACTGATCTACAACGAACCCCAGTGCCAAAAAGAGAGAGAGAGAGAGAGAGAGAGAAAGAGTGGGACAGAGAAAGTTTGAGAAAGACAGGAGGGAGGGAGAAAGAGAGAAATCCACAGGGACTCAGCAATCAGGAGACATGGCAGCCGCTTGGCTCTCACTTATAATGGATGAGTTGAGGTCTTCCTGCATTCCCTGTGGGGCTTGGTTAGACTCTCCCATCTCTACCCTCTGCTGTGCTCTGCAGGCTTCAAGCCAGGCATCATTGTTCACATACACACACACACCAACACACACACGCCCAACTCACATGTACTATACAGTGGCTAAACAGCCTTGTTTATTTTATTTCATTGATCGCCTATCTGCTTTTATCTTGTCCCTGATCTGCTGTTCAGCTCTGTGTCCTGTATGCTCCAGGTTGTTGTTCTGTCCTCAATATAAATCCTGCCTGTCTGTTTCTGCAGGCTTCCAACCCTCCTTCACCCCCCCCCCCCCCATGTCCTGGCTCATGCACTTTATCTATTCCCCCTTGTCCTTTAACGGGGTCTGTCTGGGGGCAGAAGGAAAAAGCCATTTCATAAAAATATCAATGCAAACCTGATTTCTGCTACACCCTCCGCCACCACCCCCAGCCTCAGTCGAGGGGAGCAGAGATGGGGAGGGGGGGGGCAATCAATTAATCTGATCAAGCGCTTTAGGAAATGGAGAGCGTAAGCGATCCTAGGGGACGGATATCCATCTCCTTGGGATGATTGAATTACGCGAGTGAGAGTTGGAGAGGAGGGAGGGCTGGAGAAATGAGGTGGTTATGGTGACCGAGGCTGAGGGAGCACATGTGCTTGAGGAACACAGTGGGAGTGTGCGCTTGGTACGAGAAAGTGAAAGATAGAGGGACAGAGAATTAAACTGAGCAAGAGCAGAAAGAGTGGGGTGAAGAGAGATGAGGTCATTGCAGAAACAGAAATGGAGAAGAGCCTTATTTCTCTCACCCCCGCATCTAACCATTTACATTTTTATGTTTCATACCTTATGGTTGATAACCCTTTCTTTTGACAGCTATATTTCATAGCACGGGTACATCATTTTGCTTTGGAGTCAGTTCATAGCTGAGTGCGATGCTCCTCACAAATTGTCATTTAATTAACAGTAAATTGTTGCAGTATGCAAATGGCCCAGCAGTATGGAGAACGTTTATGATACAATAAGGGCTGCATTATCGTCTCTTATCTAAATTTAATTTATTATAATATCATAGACACCCTGTGTGATTGACAGGAGCTTACTGTAACATTATGCTAATATTCTCTCCTTAGGTTCTGCTTAAAATAACCCAGTATCTCTAAATATTATTTTTAAGAGGAGATACAGTACAGTAGCCAGCGAAAAGTACAACAGCATGACACTTCCAAAACAGCCCTTTCATGGAAATGCCTTGGTGATTGAGCTCCTCCATTGTTTTGCAAGCTGCACAATATGGTGCAACATATTGCTCAGAAATGCACGGCTCCTTTCGAATGCCACACTCCTGCAGAAAATGACCTTCTCTTCTACTTCTGTTGAATGCATACCATACCTTCTCTTCTCCTCCA